AGGTGGTATTTGTCTTGGACCCGCCCCGCGAAAAGAAGAAGAAGAATAAGGCATCTATGATGATTGACATTCGTTCAAATTCATGAGTGTTTGCGTTTCAACTCAGGTTTTTCTTTCCACTTATATGTCAGGTGAATGCCATCAGCTTTGGAGCACTCTTCCCATTTGCAAAGCTTCGCGCCAACCAGAACATCAAGATCATTTGGCGTATGAGGTGCCTGGAAACGTCAATCAAATTTGATGTAACTGGTCTTGGAGTGGCTTCTGTGTCCTGATCTTTGCTGACCATTGTCCCCTGAGGATCCACGCAGAAAAGCCCGATGCACGCCAGCTTGTGCCAGTGAGGCCTGTGGCGGTGCTGAGCGGTAGTGTCAGCTTGAAGTCAAGGACAGCTATCAAGCTGATGTAGAGCTTTTGGCCGGTGATGCCGGTGAGATGTTGGGGGCCTTTGAGTCTGTACAGTGCCACTGTACGTAGGCTGAAGCCTTGGCCTGGTTGTGACCTGCATACTGCTTGAAAGCTATAATAGAGTCAATCCATCAATTGACCCCATGACCAATCATTTTGATGTCAGCTAACCAAAAGGTTTCAGAAGTTTCAGATCAGTCTTCAAACCAACACCTTTAAAATGACCGCCTATAGTCCAATCATTCTATATCCAGGTTCCACCAGGTCAGGGAAATCCATAAGGGGTTGCAGAGATCTCGGAGGACCTCGGAGAAAGCCGTAGAACTTCGGAGAACCTCTCATCTTTTGAAGCAAGCCGTAAAGACAGCTGTTGGTGAAAAACTGAGCGCTTCTTTCCAATATCTCATCTCACTTACTCCCAACAGTGAAGCATCTCCAGAGTCAGTTGATGTTTGTGAATTTGTGAGCACTTCAATGCATTCAGGCTCCATTTTGTAGCTTTGTCTGGTGGGTTCCCCTGTCGGCTTTAGCATCGTTGCCATGGAGAACTTTCAGTATAAGCCGAAGTTCGATGCCAACTCCTACATGGTCATGATTGGGACTACGACTATGCCCAAAGCTTCGGCGCCTCCTTCCGCTTCTCTTGCCCGAGCCTCTTCATCGACAGCCTTGGATTTGACAGCGGCAACAGGACTGACTTCCCTCTGACTCTTACTATTCAGTTCTGTTCTTGTTGTTAGGGTGGACGCTGTTATTAGCTCTATGCACTGTGAGGAGGTGGGTTGTTTCGGCGCTGTGATGTCTCTGGTTCTGGCAGCGATTCTCAGTCTCCTGATGACTCCAAGAAGGAGTCTGAGAAGGACAAGGCGAAGGACAAGGGCAAGAAGGCGGAGAAAGCAATCAAGGAAGAGAAAAAGAAATCAAAGAAGGCCAAGAAGGACAGTGAAGTTGAAGAAGAGCCGCCAATCGATCGAGATGATGAGGACGCCCTCTTTGGTGATGATGACGACCACGATGAGTTGGACGATGAAGAAATGATTGTCCACAGGCGGCCATCTTGCAAGCGACCAGCAGCTGCAGCTGTCAAGAAAGACAAGAAGGAGAAGACAGAAAGCTCTGGGAAGAAGCAGAAAAAGAACCGTAAGCATGAGGATGGAGATGACCTGGATGAGTTGCGAGACCAGGTGATGAGGTCAATGACCCAAGCTGAGCTAGCTGAGAGCCAACAGCCTCTGGATCATGAGGAGGAGTGGTTCTATCCGGAAAGGTGCATTACATTACATACTCACATTCTACAGGACCTATCTACCAAGGCTACCCCCAATCAAACTTAATTCACACCATGCGACATGGCAAAGTACTTACTGTACCAATTTGTTTAAGCTTTGTGCAAAAAGACTTCCAACTTTAAACTCATGTCAGTCATCTGAGATTTGGACCAGGAAGAAGTGAAGAAGTCCTTGGACGGCGAATTTGGCCAAGCTGGTGATCTCCATCCTTCCCAAGAGATTGATGCTGATGAGCTTCCTCCAATCTTTGAGGACTTTGAGGGATGAAAAGTAAGTGTTTTCTGTCTAAAAAGCTGAGTGCCCAGCACTTTCTGTCAATGATGAAAGTGCTTTCGCAAGGATGAAAATGGACAGGCCTGGAGCTCAGCTGATCTGCTTTCAAGTTCTTACTTGAGGGGTCTTCGGGGTTTTGCTGTGCAAGGATGATGGCAGAGAGGAGGTGGAGGTTTATTGGGCCACAAAGTTCTTGGAAACCTATGTGGATTATTGCAAGGCCATCGAAGCAGCCCCCGACAAGAAAGTGGACCATGGTCACCATGATGGGATTGAGAAGGACCCTCTCTTTGTCTCAATCTTGTCAGGTCTTGCTTGTTGGGACTCGTCTTGCCAGGAATGCCATACACCTGAATCAAGATGTTCAAGCATGGCGACAACGCTGCAACTCAACCCGGACTGGGACTTTGCACTTCTTTGTTGCTTCATGTGTTTGTTGGTGGTGCTCGCTTAACTAACATTGATCAAGTGGCCTGGGTTCAAAAAAACAGCTGTTGGGCCAACCTGCCCACATCACACCATCTAGTGTGGCCATGCCCTAATGGAAGAAAACTCATTGAACATCTTTAACTCTGTGTGGTGTAAAAACCGCAATTTCATTAAACGTCTTGAATGCATCAATACAACGATGTGAAGCACCCTAAAGCACAACCCCCTTCCATAACAACTGATTTGGGGAGAAGCTTTTGGAGGACATTGAGTTGACGCTCCTCCTCCATATCTTCTGTACAAGTTGATTTCTGTCTACAGCTACAACAACATCCTGGAAACACTGCCACGGCAGAAATTTGCAAGAAAACCAACTGGTATCTAAGCTTTGACTGTCTAGCTTAAAACATTGAGAGACACCTCAGCTTGAATACTACACTCCTCCCAGGAAAACACTGTGCATTGTGAAGGCCCTGGTACCTCTTCATAAACCAAAATGGACGCCTAGAACACAATGTTTTTTTGCGTTGATCAAGCCGGCTGCAACCCTGAGACACCGGCAGATGATGTCCAGATCATGCATTACCTTCCAATGGCCACATTTGGTGAGGAGTTCTCCAAGGGGGTGGCTCCAAGAGTTCTCCAACAGTTACGAACAGGGGTGCAAACCATGTTTCTTGTGTTGGGGGAGGCTGAAGGCTGTCAAATGAATACAAACTGAAGGCTCCCATCTGGGTCATGAAAAAGACAACCATCTCGGTATATCAAACTCTGTACTACTGCATATTGATATCTCTCCTGCTACATGTCTCGTGATGCATAATATCAAACTCACTTACCGTCAGGATGTGTGGGAGACTTCGTGGCCATTTGCAGAGGATTCACAGGTGCTGGGCCCAGCCTCCATCAAACAAGTTTGGGGCTGCCATTGCACTGTGCGAGGCTGACTTTGAAACACACTTCGCCCAGGAAGTCCGAGCCTTACATGTCAATTTCAACTCTTATTGTCGACCGGTCATATCCGATGTTCTCACTCCAGGTGAAGCCTGAAAATGTTGAGAAGGACTTGGATGTTCATGCAGGCTGTCTTCATGTGTAGGATGGCTTGTATTGTTTTGCTTGCAGGACGTTGGCGACTTCAAAAGCACGGCGATCGGCGCGGCCAACTCTGAGCAGGACAGGGATGTGTTCTTTGAACTGTGTGGATCTAAGGGCTGTGATCTGTCTGGTTTCACTGGCAGGGATTGAGCATGGAGACTGGTCAAATTACCGTTTCTTCCTCAGTGACACAATGGGAGTCACTGACATGAGAACTTCCTTATCTCAGGTGGATCTCACCATCGCCAGCGAGGGTCCTAGTGAGGCTGGTCTCAATGGATAAATAGTTGTTTCGCTGCTTTGTTCAACAACTTGCATTAAAAAACGTTGCAACTTTCTTTGCAGGCCTGCTCTGATTCCGCTTCACAGAAGGTGGGCCCTGAACATTAGTCTGAACATGGATGAAGAGGGAATGTTTTAATTGTTAGTGGCTTTCTTTGGGAGGCAGTTGTGGTGATTCACCTGATGTGCACGGGGCTCAGTGCTATGATGTCCAATGGTTCTTCTTTGCGTCACTCTGTGGTTTTTGATGTGATGAGGATGATGGTGGAACAGCAAGATGTACTACGTGCTGTGGCCACACCGATGTCTTCTGACATGGCGAGGGTGGGTGCTGAGGCAATGGGTGCTGATGATCCACAGCCTTTGCAAGATCCAAGAGCAGTGGCAAAGGCAAAGTGTGCAGCCAAGTCGCAGAGCCAGCCTAAGGCAAAGAGCAGACCCAAAGCAACAGCGAAGAAAGCAGCAGCAATGAAGAAGCCGGCACGCACCAGCAAGGCAGCGAAGCGGGAAACGCGCAAGCCCAACATGAGCTACAACCATGTGTACAGCCGTGTCTACCGCCAACAGTTGCGGAAGAATGCAACCTTGGAGGAGGCCCAGGCATGTGCCCGGGAAGCTGCCCGAAAAGCAGCTGCTGAAGTTTAGAAGACCTGATGGTGCCAAAAGACGCATCTAGGGGTGTGGTGCGCATAGAAAAGGATGCGATGGTCCATGTGCAGGGGCATGATGGTGGGACATGGAAAGCTTGGAGGGAAGTGCTGTTTGCTCTTGGTTGAGGTGTTGGTTAGGGTGGGTGACTCTTTATAGCTATTGGCGGCTTATATAGCTATGGCATACGGCGGTTTTTCGGCCCATACCATATACCGTGTTTAAGAAAGGCTATAGGCAAACGATCCGGACCCGACGATGCGCTGAGACTTCTCCGACCAACCCGACGGTGAGGACGTTGGTGACGTTGCGCGGCCCCGCGGGGGGCGGGTCCAGCATTCGACCACTCGGTGGGTCCGAGCCCACCGGTCATAGTCTTTCACTGAAGCCCAGCCCAGCCCTGCAGAGTCATCTCGCTTCAAGATGTCTCCTTAAGGGGCAAAGTCCTTTTACTAAGGCACCCCTTTGCATTCCGTAGCCTGCTTTCACGGTTGTCCCCCTCAACGGACGGATCGAATGTGGAACGTCACCAAACGAGATGCCCCAACGAGAAAACAACGTTCGCGGCTCTTTTCACTGTCACGCTCGATGGTGCAGGGTCACTCGTGTGGCAACCAGCCAAGCACGGAATGGGTTCTTATGACCTTCAAATAAATCCGAACACGCTCGGCATTTCTCAGAATTGGCATGAATTGTCATCCAAAACACACCGCTGTGTGGTCCAAACATAAACAACCACAATCTCCCAAATTCAGTACCTTTCCATATTGATCTGCGTGGGATTGAAATTGGATTGGGGTGTGCAACAAGGGCTCCAACTTGACACCCCAGGCGCGCTTCAACGGCATGAGACACCTGCCACCCAGCTGTGCTGTGCCACGCGGATCGCGCGGTGTAAGCCAGGCTATGTTTGACTAATATTGACTAGTGTTCAGAAGTTTCTGGCGTTGCTGGTCACAAAGAACCTTCACCCTTAAGGTCTTTTCCAGCTCATCCATTTCTTGAAAGAATCGAGCCAGTCCTGCCTGGTAGACTTTCCGGTCAACATGTGTCAACCCTTCGATATCCTTCTGAACGCTTGCGTTGTAGTCGTCCACCGTGTCGCTGTAGGTGTGCTTGTGCGTGATATGAAGCGGAACAAAGGCCTCCCAAGCGGCCACGTCTTCGCAGTTGCAATGACTCGGCAAAAAGTTCCTCACGGACCGCGGCGCGCAAGCCGGAGGGGGGCGGATGACACAATTGAATTTTTGACTGGCTTGTTGCGTGTCTTCATGGGAAATATATGTAAAGATGGTGGAATTGCATATATTGCATGGAATTGCTATAATTGAAGGACGTGCCGGAGTACCTTTGTCACCGGTTTCAAAATGAAGGAAGCGTAGAGCAGTCAGTGCGCCTGGCGCCGATAGTGATCGTGTTACGCCACCGGAATGCGCAGGGTGTCACATGTCTTGAACATGGGTCGAACGAACCCGCAAAAAAATCAACAATAGGCTTGGGGCTCCAGCTCCGCACCAGTGGATTCTATCGTTTCTCTTGGATTTAGGATGTTCCGGTTGTCTTCACTCACCCACGCCTCAACTTCCAAGCGAAAAGGCAGATGCTCTCGTGATAGGCCTCCACGAGCCCGATGACGCTGGCAGAGTGAAGGATTTCCATCGGTTTCTGCACGTGGATGTTGACCGGATGGTCTGTCTCGTCAGCGCAGGTCAGTTGACGGCTTGTAGGATTCCGGGGATCCGAGCAGTGATACCTCTCCTGAAGATATGCCTGGCCGGGTGCGAAAGAAACCAAACTAAAGAACATCCTACTTTGGATCCCATCGTCAGGAATTCACTAGTTGATATTATCACCAAAAAGATCCAAAAAGGATATCTCGCGCGAAAACCCAAACAAACACGCTCGGCGCATTGTCTCCTGAGTGTAGAACTGCTTCGGTGCATCCTGCTTCCACGACTTGACCCATGTTGCGAAGTCAGGAAGAGTGAATCCTGGTTGACCCTGAGCAACGCCCAGCTTTTGACGGTGATGGAGTTCAAGTGGCCCTGGCTGTAGGCACTGATGGTAGATGGACAGAAGGTGGTCGTTCGGACGACGAAGCATCAAAACCGTCTTTTCAAACCTAGGCTGGAGAGAATGACCGAGGTACCAAACTGCCTAACTAACAACCCGGGCAACAAGTGGATGTCTAACTTGTTTCAAGTGAAAACACACTACAAGTATGTACAAGTACTAAGATATAAGTGCAACGCCTGAGAAAATGATGCTCCTCAAGGTGCGGCCCAAGAGACTTGGCTTGAGTCGACCTGTCCCAGCACACCTGCCCGGTCCAAATCTTGTCTCGCCCGACCAGCTTGGACAGGTCTCCGACGATGGAGCAGCCTGCGACCTTCGGGATGTGGATGAGGAAAATCTCACGATCATGAAGTCTTTCAAGGCCGTCCCAACACCAAGAAGCCTTGGACAGTGGATCTGAAGGAGTCAGTTCAGGAGACCTGGAGCCCCTTTGGTGAGGTGTAGGTCTCCCTTGCTGGATGTCTTCCCTGGTGGTACCTCCAAATGGCTGGTTCTTGAGAGAAGTACACCATGCCAAACCGGGTCAGACCATTTTCCTCTACGAACAGGTGGTCCATCCACTTCGGGAGTATAGAGTATAGAGGTCGTGACGGTCAAGTGATGTGTCCGGAGCTGGAGCACCAGCTGGACCCCAACTGGGACAAGCCAGAAAAGCTGTGAACTTGCGGCATGTTAGGGGAGTTGTGTATTGGATTTCCATTTCACCTTCGAAGGGTATCTCAGGTATCTCCTACAAATGTGCACCCGAAAACCATGGGTGCAACCCAAACCTATTGATTTTCGCTCTTAGGTTGGAGGCCATCGCTCTTAATTAGGTTGGAGGCCATCGCTCTATTTTGTCTTCCTTTTGCAGGAGAGCGGGACACCTTCAAAAAGCCCGGTTTCTTTGCCGAATGGGCGGCATGAAGACCCCAAAGCCGTCCAAGTAGCCCACTGTGACGCATTGGCATCAGCTACCCCAGGCCGCTTGAAGCTTGGCAGCTGGAGCAAGGAGTAGCGGTCAGCGGCTGCGTTGGCCAGACTGACCACGAATAGAATAAAGATGTGTCCCATGCAACACACATGAAAATAACACTTTGATCGCGATGTGTCGAGCTTGAGCCCACGCGGTTCCGCCAAACACATCCGAATGCCTCAACCAGTTATGCCCTACTGCGGGTTCCACTACTGTGTTCTACACCCTCAGGTCCATGCGAAAGGTAAAGACCATTCTGAGGGTGTAGAACATTCTCAGGACTTGCTACATGCAGTTCTCAGGTCTATAAAGACCATTCTTCAAGCAGCTCCCTCTGGTCCTTCTCTTCCTTGAAACCTTTCAGCTCCTTCAACTCAGCCTGGGACAATTCTTCCTCTTCTGCACTTCTTTGCGAGTCCTGGAAGGTGGGGATTGTGTGCGAAGGGAAACCTGCCCTCAAACAAACGACGAAGTATATAATATAGCTAAGATTTTACCAGTAAGGCTCCAACGGTGATTTGGAGAGTCTGTCGCTACCTTCTGAGATGGTGCCAACGTAGTTTGGTTGAGTGAGTACATTCATGAAGTACACTCCGGCTCACTAACATGGAAGTGGACAACACCGCTGTTTGTATAGGAAAATAGTTTTCCAAGGGACCATGCCATCCACTTCCATGTGATGTGTTCGTCAAAGGGTATCCACTTCACACTTTCAAGCCAGTCTCGGGACCGATGTCAGTCACGGAATGATCGATCCAACCACTGTCCGACCTGAGACTTCGGTGCCCTAAAGCCCGTCCTGCTGGAACAAATAGTCCAAGGCTGATTGAATGCTTGAGTCTCGGTTGCCTAGCCTCTTGTTCAAGGTGCGGATGGCATCAAGGTCCTGGCCAGCGTTATTTATTTGTTCTTTTGATCGCATCTCAAAAACTTAAGGCCTCGGTACCCAATACACATCCAAACATACGGCCCTAGTAGCCCAAATCGCAAGGCATCTGCCGTACAGCCGTACCTACTGGACATGTGAAGCCGTTCAACTTGATCATCTTCATCGTCCCCGGGCTCAGCGGTGGTCTCGCGTGTCGGCGAAGCCGGACGAAACGCGGAGATGCGTGGTTTGGAGCACCTCCAAGCGTTGCATCTCCGACTGCACGTCCACCGCCTTCTGCTCCAAAGCCTTCATTTGATCCTGCGCGGGTGGCTGGGACCCTATGAAAGGACAGTTGCTCTCTATGAATTATGTTTAAAAATACCGTTTGTAGCATAATCAGCTATGGGTGCAAGGAGTTGAGTTGAAAATGTTGAAAGTGAGTCTTGGCACTTTGCGCCAATCACAGCACGTTCTGCGAGAAGTGGCTCACATTGCTCAGAACTCCATGCGTGGGCATCCTACAGTTGTTCGGTCTTTGGTACAAATACATGACGCACAGGACACGCTGCATTCTCGGTTGTGTTGGGGGGTTAGACTTCTAGAAGGTAACCTCTGGTCTATTGGCACTGCAATGGCAATTTCAGGATTCCGTTCGGACACCTTTTGCCCATTCTGTGTCCTGAGCTGCCTCTTGCTCTTTCTCCTGCTTCAGCTGCGATTCCATGGCGTCTGCATCTTTCCATGCTTCGTAAGTACCTTATTCAAGGACACACAAGAAAAAACAAGTTCCCTCTAAACTTTAAGCCAAATGACACCCACAGTTACCGGGGCTGGTCGGTTGTATGTCGGTTGTGTAGAATCGTTTAACTTTTCCAGCAACTTCCTCAAGAAGTCCCTGGTTCATCCGGTGGTCTCATTTCCAGCGCTCAGAATGCTGCTCTTTGCTCTTCACTGCCAGGTACGCTTTCCACCCGACTCCATCGTATAGTCAGAGTTTTTAGGATCTGTCTTGAATGTGAACTCTGACCAGCAGTGCCGGCAACGGGCATAGAAGCGGTAGACCTCAGCTGCTGAGGAACACACGCTGCGTGCTGACAGCAGGACCCTCATTTAAGCGGCCAGGGGCATCATTTATCATCATAATATGCCGGACATAATGTCACAAGGTGAGTCGGGATGGAACACGAAACTTCGCTCTCTCTCTCTCTCTATGTGTGTGTGTGTATGTATATATATATATAATTATATATATATATATTAGGCCCGCTAGGGTTCATAATGAGACTTCACCATGTCACCGTATGCAAACACATCCTACAAGAACAAGCGTTGTTGTTCTAAACATGTCTTGTCTTAACTCTGGCCGGTGTTCAGGCTGCACCCAGCTCAAACAGTTTGGACACGCAACCATCATATATATATTATAAAATAAATATAAATAATATATAATCTGTATCATCTGAAGACATTGATATTTCCGAGTGTCCCCCTGCTGCAACCCAACCTATTTATGGGAGAGCGCTGGAGGTGTCTGCCTGGCCTGGAGCCCAAATTACGGCTAACGACAGCCTGAACGAACGGAGCGGGGTTCAAACGACCGCAACGAACGAACCGCGGTCGGAGCCACCTTGAGGCCGAGGTAGCTCTCACCCTTGATTTGCTCAGTCTTGGCCGTAAACTTCGTACCTCCAAGGAGCGCCGTTCGGCGGTCGGAAGCGCGTGTTTCCCAGCGCCAAGTTCGCAGAATCGATAGTTCTACCACCGACCAAAAGACCAACCCATTCACCGAAGTCCTCCTGTGTTCAGTCTTTGCCGGTCTTTGCTTTATGGGAAAACAAGCTTCTTTCACTTGAAGATGTCCGCTGGTAAGTCTAAGTGGCTCCAGCCATGAGAAGAAGGCTCTGGAGTGTTGTTGGGAGGTTAGCTTGGAAGCGGTACAGTTCTGGAGTTTGGCTAATGGAGAATGATCATGCTGGTCCAGTCGCGGTATGTTCATTTGTTGAAGCCGACGGGAGCAAACACAGTTTGCAAAGCTCCAAAGTCTACTTGCATTGATGTGGAACATCTGACCAAGCCTGGCTGGGTACTGAATGTATTACCTATGACTCCCAGGTTGTGTATTCTTTGATCCCAGTGCAAATGTCCAGTTCTTAAAGCGTGAGCATCAGTTCTGTTTGGCTTTGCATTTCAGGTCAACAAAAAGCTTTTGGGTGCGCCCCACAGCAGCTTGTACAGCTTCACAGCCTGAGAGAGTGTAAGCTATCACCCAAGAGGGTCCCCACTCAGAACTCGTCACTGCTCCGACTTCGAGAGGATGTCCCAAAGCTTTCCAAAAGCTCGACCACATCACCATGACCACCATGCCCTCGAACCCCTTTCTCGAACCCACTGAAGATTTGGGAGAGAATTTGGTGCAAACACGTGGCCTGTGTAGTTGTACTCCTTGCAGGAGTCACACACCATGGTGAAGGGGAACATCATGCGAATGTTCATCATCTGAGGCCCCTTTGGCTTCAAAGCCTGTGCGCGCACAAGTCACATGTCCACGCGGGAAGAGGTGCGGTGCGTGTTCTTTTTGAGGTGTATCGTCTAGTCTATTCACACCTAAAATCAACAGAAAATAGAATCAAACACTTAGGTGCCATCGTCCCAGCATTCCCAAATACAGGCTGGATCTTTTAAGTGTGGCAACCGAAAAGCTCGATAGATTGATCAACTTTTAACATTTTTTGTTCTCAATTACTAGATTTCTTGAAAAAGGAGCGGTGATCGAATGCCGTTTGGTGTCCAGTCCTCAAACCTTTTCAATGCGTCTCCAAACACATTACACCGCCACCACTAGACCCTGTGCCTCATAAGGGCCATATCCTAAAGTAATCACGTGCCGATGTTCTGCCAAAAACTCTGCGTTGTATAAGCGGTCCCATGCCAACTGTTGATATCTTTGCTTGACCCCACATCGAAACACCGATGATCAACCAGCCGAAAACGGTTATATAGGTGACCCGGTGACCCTGTGAGCCGTTTGCTGGTGTTCTTCGATTGAAGCAAACGTGAACCAGGTACATGTTTAGCCGCAAACGGCTTGAAATGTCGCGTTCACATCCTTTTCCAAAGCACAACAGCCCTAGGGTTGCATGTGCTGGGCCGAAATGCCCTCGTCGTCTGCGTTCCTGTGTCCCCATTGAATCCCTTCAATTGCCTTCTTGCACAGGTAGGAACACCCAGAGAAACGGGGGGCGCATAGATATATATATATATATAGATATGACGTCGGCGACGCGTGAGTGTCAGGTCGCTAGCCAATACCCCTAGTAGCGTCCGATCGCTCCGTTCGTAGCGATGCCAGGAGCCCATGGTAGCGTCCGATCGCTCCGTTCGTAGCGATGCCAGGAGCCCATGGTAGCGTCCGATCGCTCCGTTCGTAGCGATGCCCTTTGCTCCTAGTAGCTTCTTGTTCCTAGTAGTAAGGCCAGCCCCTGGTAGCGTCCCTGCTCCTAGTAGCGATGCCCTTTGCTCCTAGTAGCTTCTTGTTCCTAGTAGTAAGGCCAGGAGCCCCTAGTAGCGTCCCTGCTCCTAGTAGCGATGCCCTTTGCGCCTAGTAGCGGGGTATCCAAACCGTTGAGCTTCACAACTTCACCCGTGAGGATGGTCCCCCAGGACCTTCAAAGGACCTTCCAGGGTGAAGGAAAAAGGGGGCCGCCCATTAAAGGTCACTTAGAAACTCCAAAAGGGGCCACTTTGAAGGTCCTGGTTGTTTTCTTTGGAGGCACCTTTTGTGGATGCTAGGAATGAACACTCCGGGAACTTGTGTGGCCTGTCGAACGCCGATTTCTGCATCGAATCCCTTTGAGCCCCTGGACCGGTCCACACTTCGGTTTGGTGTCCGCTTGGCGCTCCGCTTGGCGGAGACGCACCAGTCACGGTTGAAGACGGAGACGCACCGCAGTGCGACGCGAGCCGACTCCCCTCCGTACCGGTGTCTCGCCCGCCTTCACGGGCATCAACTTGGAAGCATCGAAATCTGGGGGGTAGTAAACACCAGCTGTGAAGGTCCAGCCTGTCGGGGAGTGTTGCGGAGTCACCACTCTGTGGCACAGTTGAGGCTGGGGCCGCTAGCAGTTGAAGCTATGCTTGCTCCATTGAGCGGTGACTTTCTGACTTTATGGACACGAGCTTTTTGTTGCGAATTGATTGCAGCCAAGGCACCTACAAAGGCGCTTTTCATGAACTTGGCCGACATGGTGCCGTCTGCCATGGCTGATCCAACTGAAGGGCCGCCGCTGTGGGCGTCTTACTTTCGGAGGAGCAATC